GGAGAGCCTTGCCTTCCAAGTTTATCCGCAGATAATAGTTTTAAGTTAAAACTTGAATGAAAATATGATAATTTCACCAATTGATTTTTATGATTATTTCTTTTCATACGTGTGTGTGTGTGTGTGTGTGTGTGTGTGTGTGTGTGTGTGTGTGTCAGAGGAGAGCCTGGCCTTCCAAGTTTATCCGAAGATAATAGTTTTAAGAGTCTTCAATCCACACAGAACTGGCTTGAGTTATATAATCTGCCCTTAATCCTCAGATCTGCCTGTTGCATTTCCTGTTGACAAAAGAAGAGTAGCCAGAAAGCTGTTCCTGCTGAATATGCCGTACTGACTGGCACAGATCCCGTCCCAGGCTAAAAAATCTTTCCTGTCTCTGTTCAGAACAGTGGCGTGAAGTTAGATTACCAGGTGTAATAGGGTAGTCTTTTCTACAGGAAAACTAGAGACACCCGAAAGGGGCTGGGGAGATGACTCAGCTGCTAAAGGGCTTGTGTTCCAGTACCTGAGTTCAAATCTCAGAACATGATATATTCTTTTAATTCCAGCAGAGGGGAGTTAGGGATTCATGGATCTTTGAGCCAGTCGGCCTAACCTGCTCGGCAATTTCTAGACCAGTGAGAGACACTGTCTCTCAAAATGGCAGATAGTTTTCTAGGAATGATAATGCCTTTGGCATCTACACATGCAGATATGTGCACATGCACCTGTACACACACACACACACACACACACACACACACACACACACGTATGAAAAAGAAATAATCATAAAAATCAATTGGTAACATTATCATATTTTCATTCAAGTTTTAAAAAATTGTTTAATTGTGTGCATGCACAAGAGATACAGAGAGCCAGAGAGAGAGAATATGTGGGCTTGTGCACGAGTGTAGTGCCCATGGAGGCCAGAAGAGGGTGACAGATCACCTGAAAGTGGAATTATACATGGTTGTGAGCCACTATGACACTAGTTACCAAACTCTAGGTCCTGGAAGAGAAGCCAGTGCTCTTAACTGCTTGCTGCTTGCTGCTTGCTGCTTGCTGCTTGCTGCTTGCTGCTTGCTGCTTGCTGCTTGCTGTAAAGTGAGCGAACCACTCTCCAAATTCCGGCTTCTGAGGAGACTTTCAGTGTGAATTCCTCCATCTGCAGATCACTTTTTGGCCATGTTCTAAACCCAACTGAATGTTAGCAAAGGAATGAAGACTTATTGATTCAGTTTTACAGAGGCCAAACACAGATGGGGCTTTTGAATAATCCAGTCATTTGAGGAAGCTTAGCTCAGAATCACATAAAACGTCCTCATTAACCAGGCTGCTTGGGAATGCTTCAGCTTGGCAGGGAGGACTAAATAATTCATTGGGTTCCCATATCAAAGTCTCAGGCAAGCATCCTTATAGATGCACACAGCAGAATGTGGGGACATCAAAGTGTCCTTCTGTCCCTGGGGACCGGTGACATCACTTTATGTAAATATCATGCATGCTAAGTTGTTAGATCCAGGTGCAAGGTTCATGACCACTACCAAATACCCCAGTAGTTGTCTTCATCACTGCCTCCCTCAAAGCTACAGATGGCATTGATCCTCTTGCTAGTGGATGAGAAGTTTTGTAAGGAACCCTCAAAGTCTAGGAACATGAAGACCAACAATGCCACTCTGCACTAAAGCAAAGCCACATGGCTCAAAATCTGCTTCCATGTTTGGGATTTCGGGGGAGAAAGGACATTCCCTAAAAAGAAGGTCTAAGTGAAGGTCCTGCAGGAATAAACATTTTGCAAATGCTTTTTTAATCAGCTTTAAGTAGTCTTTTTTAAAAGCAGGGGTCTTCAGCTCCTTCATATAGAATGTTACATTCATTTTTATTTGTCAAAGGAGTGTATTATATAATGTTGCTCAAATGTGTTGGAACCCAGAGTGTTTTTCTCTCCAGACAGGCAGTATGCCAGGGGTTGTGTTTTTGAAAATATTCTTTTTATTATTTTTATGCATGCATGCTTTGTGTGTGTGTGTGTGTGTGTGTGTGTGTGTGTACACAAACAGTGATTGCTGAGACCAGAGAGGGAATTGGATGGCCTAGAGTTGGAGTTACAGATGGTTGTCAGCCACACTGCAAGTACAGGGAATGAAACAAAGTGTGGTCCTCCGAAAGAGCAGCAAGAGCTTTCAGTCACTCAGCCATCTCTCCAGTGCCGCGGGGGGAAGGGGGTGTTCATGACTAAGCACATACCTAGCCAAGGGGTGCTAGACCGGAAATTGTATTTGTCAAAATGTCACTCTAATGTTCTGTACTTATTTGAAAAATTGAAAAAAGTTCTATATCTGGATATTTACTGTCCACTCTAGGGTGCAAAATAATGAGATGAACTGTCTGGGGAATTTGCTTAAAGAGTAGACAGGCACACCATGGGGTGGGTGTGAAGTTATTATCAGAATGGACCCAGAATGATGGAGGGCCATGAAACATGTTGATTTGTAATAAAATATAAGGGATTTAACATGGATAGTGTGTGTGTGTGTGTGTGTGTGTGTGTGTGTGTGTATGCCAGTGTGTGACGACTAGAGTATAACCTGATACTTGAAGGATTTAGTTCTCTTCTTTCTTCCAGCATTGTGGGGCCTTGTGAACCCACTCACATCATCAGGTTTGGCAGCAAGTGTCCTTACTTTCCTCCTGAGACAGGTTTCCAGTCTGCCACCCTGTTTTTTGTTTTGTTTTATCTTTTAAGATTATTTTATTTTTTTGTGTAAAAGTGTTCTCCCTGCATGTATGTGTTGTGCAGTGTGCCTGTCTGGGGCCTGTGGAGGCCAGAAGATGGCAAATCCCCTGGAATTGCAGATAGCGATGGTGGGAGCCGAACCTGGGTCCTTTGCAAGAACAGCAAGTGCTCATAGCTGCTGAGTCATCTCTCTAGCGCTGGCCACCCTAATTATTGAAACAGGGTCTCTCATTGAACCTGGGACTCATTGCTCGGCTAGACTAGCTGGTCAGCAAGCTCCTGGGTTCCCCCTGTCCCCTCTCCCACCATTCCCCAGAAGTGCGTCACTGCACTGGGTTTGTGTGTGTGTGTGTGTGCTGGGGCACTAGACTTGGGTCTTTATGTTTACTCAGAAAACACTGACTGAGCCACTGCCATCCCTTACTGGGTCCTGGGCATCAGGGAGAGTCAGAAACAAGTAAAGCATAGTTCATGCCTTCAAAGAGATGGCATTCTGACGGTTTCATGAGAAGAGTGATGGCTGCCTTAAGATCCCAAGGGTCTCTGGTCATGGGTGCAGATAGCACTAAGCCTTTCAAACAGTTGCTTTATCCAAATTACAAAACCCGTTTTTGTACAGCAGGAAATGAACTTGGTTATTTGTTTCTGTGAATGCACTGAAGATAATGGTGTGGCTTGTTTGGTTTGGGGTTGTTTAATTAAGACTGATCTATTTTTGGCAAGAATGTACAAGGGTTTAGTTTAGAATGGGGATGAGTTTATTTCAAAGTCACTTTATTGCTCCAATCTTGTCTGTGAATGGTAAACAACCCCTGCTGGTCTTCCTTTGTTCAGAGTGCACCTCTACACCAGTGTACACAGAGCAAACAATGCGGGTTTTACTATATATGTATGGCCTTACTATTTGACCTCAGCCATCTGAGAAGAGTACAGGACCAGAGACTTCGGATGTTCCATGAAATCAAGTCTTGGAACCTTTGTGAGATAGAAACCTTGCCTCGTGGCTTAACTCTAGTCCTGTAGTTTTGTGATCTGTCTCAGGTTTTAGAAGCCAGCAAGATTCCATCATTTTGTTCACATAGAGTGGGGCTGTGAATTTGCAGGAAGAATATACAGTACAAATGGGAATACAGGTCGTGCTTAATTATTTATGTGTGTGTGTGTGTGTTTGTGTGTGTGTGTGTGTGTGTGTGTGTGTGTGGTGTAGATATGCACGTGTCTGTGTGGTGTGTGTGGTGTATGTGGTGTATTTGTGTGTGTGTCTGTGTGGAGGGGTGTGTGTATGAGTCTTTGTGTCCACATCATTATTCTGGAATTTTACCTTTTCACTACAAAAAAATATGTGTCTGTTATCCACAATACATATGTTAGTAAATATAATTTATCCAAACAGAAATTTTTATAATTTTTAATTATGTGTATTATGTGAGGGGTAAGAGTACATGCAGATGTCTGTGGAGGCCAGAGTTCTCCTGGAGCTGGAATTACAGGTGGTTGTGAGCTGTGTGACATGGGTGCTGGAAATTGAACTCCGGTCCTCTGGAAGAAGAGAATACAATCTTAAATGCTGAGGCATCTCTCCAGTCCTCTGGCCTGTTTCTTTACAAGGTATTAGTAAGAAAATACTCATGGTGCCTTGAGGATGGAATGGGAAAGGGAGGCAAAAGAGACTTGAGAGTTATCTGTAACAATCCCCCTCTCCTTTGCTGTGCTTTGGGATGGAACCCACAGGCTTGTGCATTTTAGACAATCTCCCTACCGTTGGGAGACATCTCCAGTCATTTATATTAACAAAGGTGATAGGGAAACATTTGCCATTGATGCAGTGCTGTGTAAGTGCTTCTTACATTGTTCCTTGACAGTTTTAGTTAAAAATCATTGCTCTCAAATGACTATGATGATTCATTCATTCAACAAATGCCTCTCAGGAGCCTCTGTGTGATAGGTCCTAGCAACAAAATGGAGAAAAGAACAGACACCATCTTGGCACTTATGGAATCTGTGAAATAGGAGACATTCCAGCTCTTCCATAGAGTGCCGAGAATGACAGCTTGAGGAGGTGGACTGAGAAAACCTGTGCTGATTGGGGAACGATATGGGAAGAGCGGGTTACTGACATGGGATCTGTAGGCAGTAGTCACTGTTGATAAGACCTGTCATTGTTGGTGAACATGGAGTTTAACCAGTGATGTGTTGTCCATTTGTCATCTCATATAGTGTCTGACTTTTCCTCCAGTTGCAACCCCCAAGTTCATGCGCATTTTTCTTTGATTCTCTCTAGTATATGACTGCTGCTCCTATGCAAGGGACCTACATTCCCCAGTACACGCCTGTGCCTCCGACAGCTGTTTCTATTGAAGTAAGTCTATCCTGTAAACACAAAGAGGCTAGGAAAGAGAAATCTCGGCCACACGGGTCCCCATAATCTGAGGAATCTTCAGATAAAGTCTGTCTGCTAGTGTAAAACACGACCCTGCAAGCTGGGCATACAGAAGCCTACATGTCGGCGCACCCAAACCAAATGTTGCTTTCCACAGGCAGTTAACCAATAATACACAGGGGTATGAAGGAAGAGTAATTTGCATGACTAGACGGAAGTCCAAAGAACAAACCCTTTCCCATCAAATGCACACCGCAAACACTCATGAGCAGAGAGGAGGGACAGTTTACAACTTGATCCTGAGAGTGACCCCTCAGCCAGCATCATGGGATCTCTGTCTTAGTTATTTTTCCTGTTGCTGTGATAAAAAAGTATATGACAAAGCAACCTAAGAGAGAACAGACTCATATGGGCTCCAGCCCATCATATGGCGGGGGAGGCAGAGTCAGGCAAAGCCGATCTTCACATCCCATCTTCAGTCAAGAAGCAGAGAGCAATGAACAGACTGCTGTCCATCTTCCCTTCCTTGACGTGCACAGTCCAGGCTCCAGCCAGGGAAGGGCACCACACACAGTTGGTATCCTCACCTCATTAATGCAATCGAGAATCCCCACACTGGTGTATCGTGGGCTGATCCCCCAAGTCTTCCATCAAGCTGAGAACCAAAATTAACCATCCCAATATCACCTAGGAGTTTGTTAGAAAGGGGAGGTGTCAGATACCACCACTCTGTTTCCTGAATTTGCTTAGGTGTTACTTTTAAGATGATCTCTTGAGAATCCAGATGTTCACAAAAATGAGGCAGCTCCTTAATTTTCAGACACTTCTGCTCATTAAAATTATTATGAGATGGATGCTTTAAAAATATGGATTCCTGAATTTGATCACAGAGATCAAGAGATTCTTGCTGATTTTTCTGGAATATGTACTGGGTTAGGCATGTTTATACACTCCCAGATGATGCCAGTAGGTATTAAGAATTAAGAACCGCCAGGTGATGGTGGCACATGCCTTTAATCCCAGCACTCAGGAGATAGAGGCAGGAGGATTCTGTGAGTTCAAGGCCAGCATGGTCTACAGAATGAGTTCCAGGGAAGCTAGGGCTACAGAGAAACGGAATCCTGTCTTAGGGAAAAAAATAAGGATTTAAGAATCACTGCTTCAGTTGGGAGTGTAGTTCAGTCACACAACACTTACCTAGTATATATAAGGCTATGGGCTCCATCCCTAGAACCCTAGAAAAGAAATGGACAAAAGCCCACTGTTTTAATGAATGAACTCAATATACTCTAGCTTCCTATAGACAGGAAAGATGCAAATGGAATCACTGTGGGTATCATGAATGATACTGTCATCTTGTCCTTAGTGGAAGCAAAGCTCCCTGTCTCTTTTCATTAGGACAAATGCATCCTCATCAGCTCTCATTTTACTGGATGGAGCCATGAAGCTACAGAGAAGAGGGGAAGGCTCAGAGTCACATAGATGCTGCTGCGTACTGAGACTGTATCCATCTATAGTTACAGCCACAGTCCCTCTTCCCTGAATGCCCCAAGTGCTTTGTAGTCATGTGTGGGCATTGCTTCTCATCAGCTAGAAGCTGAAAAACTAAACAATATACTTCCTTGAGTTCATCTTGCCTTCTCCATACACAACCAGTAACTAGAGTGTTTGTATTTCTCCATGTGAAAAATTGACCAATAGAGAGGTTGACGGAGGTTTTTGCCAACTAAGTTGGATCTCTGAAAATGTTTACAGATTTACTTCTGGTGGGTAACAAATGTACGCTGGAGTCCAGGTAAAGAAAGCCCCCGAGACTAAAAAGGCATTGTTGCACAGCCTAGGAAACTGAGGACATCACATCCTTATTGTTTTTAATTTCCTAGATTTGTGTCCAAAATAATGGTATATTAAACAGGTTTTAATTGGAGTTCAAGAACATGAGATTAGATTACGTGTTGCTTTGCTATATGTAGTGACTAAATAGCAGCCATGTCTCGAGAAAATTAGCAGTCAACACATTGCAAGCACTGTGAGCATTAACCTGTATAACGTATTTCATTTCTATATGTCTATACCAAAGAATTATGCTACAGAAAGGGCTGCCGGCACCTTTAATTGGTGTGGAATAGCAGACACATTTAACAAGGTAGCTTATTAGAAGGAAACTCTTCTTCAAGTTAGATCTGGAGTTGGAGAGAAAGAAGAGACCGTAACTATCTTTTACTATTCAACCTCGAATCCATGCTTATGAAGAAAAGACTAGTCATGTTCCTGTAAAAACACCAGATGGACATTTGTTGGCATCTATCCATCAGTCAATTGACCAATCACAAACCAATCCTGTTCAGAGGTTCTAAAAAGTTCAAAAATAGCAGGTTTGTGATGGGGAACAACAGAACACGAGTGTTTGACATACAGCTCACAGCAGGTGTCCAAGATTGGCCTTGCTTCAAGCTGCCCCTGCTGCTGTTTCCTTTCCCTCTCTCCCTGCTCCCTGCTCCTCATCCATTTCTCCTCTCCTTTTATTTTTCTGAATGCCTGTGAATGTCTTAGAAAACAAAACAAAACAAAATAAAACAATTTTTAAAAAGAAAGAAAGCAAGCAAAACTACACAATGGACTGGGTGAGGTGGCTCACACCTTTGATCCCAGCCCTCCAGAGGCAGAGGCAGAGGCAGGCAGATCTCTGTGAATTCCATGCCAGCCTGGTCTAGGTAGTAAGTTCCAGGCCAGCCAGGGATACAAAGAGACACTGTCTAAAATGAAACACAAACAACAACAAAAGTCCTATGCAAGAAACTAGAGAGATGCTTCCTTCTACTCTTTCAGAGAACAACAAGTTGGTTGTCAGCCCCAAAGTCTGGAGTCTCACAGGCTCACAAACATCTTCAATTCAAGTCCCAAGGGAGTTAACACTTTGTTCTGGCCTCCATGGTCACACACACACACATACACACAACCACACACACACAACAACAC